TGAAACATGGGTAGCCCGGCAACGAAACGTATAAATATACTCTTCAAAAGAAAAAGTAGGGGATATTGAAATGCAAATACCTATGCAGGTTGTGATATGATAAATAGTCATAGACACTTGACATGCTTTGAGAGTATGTTCACAGATGAAGAACTTATCGCCCCAACAGAACCACTGAGCCGCACATGCGACACGCAATAGCGCCATACACGTTGGAGGGGTTCATTGTCAAATTTGACACTTCAAGGAAAGGTTGATGAAAACTGCCGCGTGCTGGTTTATCTATTCATGTTTGCTCTCCTATCGGTTCTTGCATAAGCGGAGGGCCTGACAAGGACAGCTGTCTAGTCCTTCGGATGAGACGAAAAACCGAGGTCCCGTGTATACATTGGAATGCACGTAAAAGATCCCTTGGCAGTTGGAATTCGATATAAGAGTAGGCGATGGTGCCGCTGCCCGGGCAAAATTTCCCTCATAGCACACTGTATGGCGTATGCCCGTCTTCATTAGCCCAGTATAGGAGCAGAACAGTAGGACGTTAAACCCCATTTCATTTCATTTCTTCTATAATATTTATTGTTTAGCGTATCTTTGCTTTAGTGTGTTAGGTTTAATTTGATCGGGAGACGTGTTCGTCGACGTCAACGGACAACACTGCAAGAGGAGTGGGTCAGATTACCCCAAATCGTGATTGGACGGTTGATTAGGAGCATGCCACGACGCATTGCTGAAAGTCTGAGGATTGGTAGAGCAATTACTCATTATTAAGACAAAAATCAAAAACGTCCATTTTCACTTTTGACGGTGTATCTCTTTGCGAGTGAAATTGGGCCGTCAGATAAGCCGCCCATATGAATTGTTTATGTTATTAACATACACTGGTTACCTCTAATAAAAACAGCAGTGCATTTCCGCAGTTTTGTATTGTTTCTGAATATCCCCTACTTTTTTTGAAGAGTATATGTACCCGCACCCCTACCCTCAAACGACTGACTAGTTCATAAAATGGTAACACTAGAATCATGTGTTTTTAGTACATAAATTATTGTGCCTATATTCTCTAAAGGATTGAAATATGGTAAGCCAGGCGATGAGGCAACCAAACCTATACATTTGTGTAGAAAAAACAAAACCACCCATAAAATCAAAATGTATCACCGTCCTGTTTTGTGTGTGTGAGAGATAGATAGATAGAGAGAGAGAGAGAGAGAGAGAGAGAGAGAGAGAAATGGGGTTTAACGTCCACTCGACACAAACTAGGTCATTTCGGGACTAACATATGGTTTAATTTTATTTCAATAATTCGCTTGCGCGTAGAGGTCTTTAGCAGTGGGAGGAAACCGGAGGACCCGGAGAAAACCCACGAGGTTGGACAGGCGACCCTACTACTTGTCACGTACAACCGGGGATTCGAAACCATGCCAGTCAATGCAATGACAGACTTTATGATACAGCGCGCACACGCTAACCATTCAGCCATCCAACCCCCGTCCTGTTTTGTAGTTTATTGTGTACGTACTGTGTAAATGTTTGAACCAATGTTTGCCAGGCAACGAAACCTATGATTTTTTATCTTTAAGAAACAAGTTAGTTCATGAAATGTCACTCCTTTGTCGTTATCTATTTTTGAACTTTTAAAGCAAAAAAGCCAGTCCTGACTCCAAATCTTACATAATGCCTCTTTTAAAGGTCACCGGAAAAGGTTTATAAATTTTTTAAATAATGCAAGTAATTATGTCAACATATCCTTTCCATAAGTATAACACGAACCCGAATGTCAGTATTACCTGCAACAGGTAAATTTCAACGTTAGCAATTTCCGCCATTCTCCGTGGGTAGTCGTATCTTTCCATAAATGTGACGTCATTTTAGTCCCTCTGCTCATATTCTAGTCTATATTTCTATGTGCAGAAGGACTAAAATGACGTCACGGATTGCTTATTGACGGAAAGTTCCGACTACCGACGGAGAACGGCGGAAATTACTAATGTTGAAATTTACCTGTTGCAGGTAATATTGACGTTCGGGCTCGGGTTATACTTATGGAAAGGATATGTTGACATAATTTCTTGCATTATTTAAAAAAAAATTGATGCTTTTCCGGTGACCTTTAAAGCCCAGTAACATCATATCGTAACACGACATTAAAACTACGTATTTGGTACTCCAGTCTGATAAATGGAATCGTTATCCTGGCAATCTGATTAAAACACAGATCCAATTTCGTTTCGTTTTCATAGTTCAAAATTTCGATTTTACTTGTCTTTACTACACTTGGATCTGGAAGCGTTGTTATTTAACTCGTGTTCCGCTTGAAATGAGGGGTTAGCCAATCAAATGGTCTGTCGAATCGATCGTTTGACCTTTTTTTTGTGCGGAACTGTGGGTAGACATTAGAGGCAATAGAAATCAAAACAAAGCAAAAGTAGATAAAAAATACATGGCGGTCGCTAATTGGTTAATCGAACGACTGACGTAATCTGGTCAAATGTCGCTTGCTTGGTACCTGGCGTCACAGAACTTGAACTCCCACTACAACTGGTCAGATCTTCATGTAGTGTAGGCCATCGAAAGTATAAAAAACGAAACGAAATATAGATCTATATTTTAATTAGATTGTTATCCTGGCTGTTGAGCTACATGGATTTGTGTTCGCCATATTTTTCATGTCGACAGTATTTGCATTGGTCGAGTTTAGTCTTTTATCGAAGAGCGTCGCCCCCAAGAACAAGATTTGTAGCGCGTGGGTCCGAGTTCCAGAGGCTGAAGGTGTTTAGACTAGGTCATTTCGGGACTAACATAGGGTTCACGTTTTTTCGAGCCTACTCCTTGTCAAGTACAAGCGGGGAGTGGAAACTTCGCCACTTGACCCAGTGATACACTTTATGACTGAAAGCGCACGCGTTAAACAATTCGCCCCACCCCCTTTATCGTCCATATGAAATGGGGTTAACATCCTACTGTTCTACTCCTACCGGGATAATGAAGACGGGCATACGCCAGTGTTCTACGGGGGAATTCGAACTGCCAACGGATCTTTTACATGCACGCCAAGGTATACACATGACCTCGGGTTTTGATCCCATCCGAATTACTAGACAGGCGTCTCGTCAATATTACAAAAACAAGAATATTGATGTGCCACAGCGGGTCATTTTCTGATATTTGTTGCCGTATTACAAAAATCATTATGATTCGTTTAATTATTTCACTCATTCCTTATTTCAGCTTTCAGTGTGAATCGTGGATTCTGATTGCATGTTTCGACATCAGATGTGCTATCAGCACTAACCGCGCTCTGGTCTGTGGCTAAACCTGTCTAAAAACTACTCATTGCAACGCCTTCAACTACAAATAAGACTCACACAACATTATAACTGTGAAATTATCTCCATATTTAACTCGGTTGTACATATCGCCTTTAGCAACGTTCCTAATTTAGAGTTGTCTTACTACTTTACTAAAGTATATTAGGCCAAAAAAATGTTGCTTCACATTCCAACAGAAGTAATGATCGAATCCCTTTGCTATTTCCCAATAAAAAAAAATAGTTCCGTATTCTAAAGTTAATAAGGAGGCAGACCACCATTAAATTTCATCATCTCGGTACGAATTGTAGTTCGTCTATTTATAGCAATTCTCTCTCTCTCTCTTTTCTCCCCTTTTGCATGCCCATTTTTGTTGATTTTTTGGTCTAGAATGGACGAAGAGGGTTTGAATTAACATTTTCTGCCAGGTTTTGGTAAATATTCATGATTTTGAGGCGGAAGGATAAGATGGTTATCAGGTTAGCTACGGCGATGTGTACGGCAACTAGTTACATGTTTTTAGTATGCTTCTTCAAGTTTGTGTATCTCAAAATTTTGGTGGTCAACCTCATACAAATTTTAGTGCAAAGACATGACCATTTGTTCCTCTGTCTGTAGTGAAAAGCATTCAGCCCTACGAAAATTTTGGGAAAAGTTGGAGGTGGGCAAAGAGGCCAGAATTAACATTGAAGTCAATGGGGAAATTATTGGTGGTCTGCTTCCATATGTTATATGGAGTTATCTCCCTTTAACCATATTGATCAATTCTCACACGACCCGTAATACACCCGAATAAAACAGGCCCGTTAGCAGGCAAAAATAGTAAATAAACATGAATCAGGGCCGGATTTACATTTAGGCTTGGGAGGTTGAAGTCAATGACTTCAAAAGTTAGGGGGCCTCCGACCAAGGTGCATACTGTTGTGGACACCCGTCATAAGCCTTTCGAAGACGCACTGTCATCATCCTCGGTGTTCGTCAATTGACTTTAAAACACACTTTCAGCTTCCTCTAGCGGGATTTGGCGGAACCACATCTAAATTCGGACATGACATGAATGTACTAGTGTGTTTACTATTTATTCATATACAGTACTCAGTGGCTCCGTAACCGTAATGATAATTGATGACAAATAATACCTTTCACCAACATATTTGACCATGTCTTGATTAAATCCGATGATGGAAATTTTTGCTGAGGCCAAGCAACAAAAAGCAGTTTGACTGGTCTACACTTTAGAACGCAATGCCTTTGCTTCTAATTGCAAAGGGGTTGGGATGATGAAAGTTGATGTATAGTTGCATTACGTTCGATCATGATAATTTTGGCTTCGATTAAAATGATAATAATCAATTTGTCAGCATAAAGATGAGAGTTAATTCCATGTTTTTGGATGATATCGCCAATTGGTTTTGTGTAAACAGTAAAAAAATGGTAATAATTGGCTTATCTTATGCAAGATGATAACCAAATTGATTGATAGATGCGTTATAAAAGAAGCAAATGTGTCATATATGTATTTTGGGATTGAAGCAGTGACATCAGCTTGGTTTAGTTCTATTTGGCTGCTAATTTTGAGTTTAATAGTAGACAGTAGATATTAAAAGCGAAACTGCCTTCTCCTGCCTCTATAGAAAAGAACACCTCACCATTTAAAGCTTGCCTCATTACTAATCAAAATAACACCTCGGGTTAACTTCATTCAAATGTATAATTTCGCGCAGTTTCATTACACACAAATCTAAAAAGGAGATATTGCTGTTTATGTATTTATAATTACGATTTATATATCTTTGTCTGTCTATCTTTCTGTTTCAATGTCGAGCCACCTATATCTTCTTGTACAGAAGTTTCACGTCCGCCATAGTCTGTGGGAGTTCCTTCCCTTTAGTTTCCGGTAAAATGGTGATCAAGAGGGTGGCAAGCAAACAGCAACCACCAAATATAGCCCCTGGACCCCATGATATATGTTGAGCCAAAACTCTTGAGAATGGCCCCAACATGCCACCAACTCGAGCAGCTATGGACGCTGATCCCAGTCCAACATTCCTAGAAATATATAAAGTTATAGCTACATTAGTGTCAAGAATGATCTAAGATTACCGATGATTTCTCTACGATCACTGAAGTTCTAGAAAATAATCCTATAACGCCTCTTAATTTCAACATCCTCCAGTAGAAAGCAACTATTCCAGATCAAAATGCTACTGTGATAGTCTACGATTGCTCTGATTAGCCATGATCAGCTACCGCTAGTTTAATCGGCCATAAAACGATACCGAAGCATTAAGACTGTGCAAGAATGAACCTTAATGAAATTCGAAATTGGTGTGAAGCTTTCGGGTTTTCAGTATCCTATGACTTTCTTTTCAAGAGATGTACTATGTATCGGAAATGCTTGTGAACACGGCATTGATCAGACATCTTGAAGGCATGGCAGATTCTCATGGTAGAGTTTATCTTTCGGATAATCCGCTGTTGTGACTTTCTATTGCTATCGTTTTTTACTATGGTACAATACGTGACGGCAAGTTTGCTCGGGGAGCGGGGAATCTTTTTACTGCCAGGTTTGTTTATTGAGTCTGCGGCATTGTCTTATATTAACGTCCTGTAAGCCGGAATTAAAAGTTAGACTCGAGTTAGACCTAGCGTTTAGGCAGTCTCATGTAGGTAAAACCCAAGTGCTGCACACATGCTTGAATAGCTATCTGTACTCATACTGACCTTATATTGTCAAGTTTGGTTATTGTGAGTGCGCGGTCCACACATACGGGAAGAGCTTGTAGTCATTCTCACCTTAAATTGGTAGGGAATATCTCTGGGGTGTAGAAAAAACATGCACCAAAAGCACCACCGGCACCAAGTTTACCAACCAATGATAAAACAGTTATACAAATTGATGCTGCATAACTATCTGTAAAAAGAATTGAATTGAGCTTGGTGTATAACTGAAATATTACCAAGTTATGGTAACAGTGACACAGAGCTATTCTATATAGCTACTCGAGAAAAGTCAATAGCCATTGAAAATCAAGGCCGTCAACCAAATCTTTCAGGCATTAATCGGTTTTGAAATACATATTGGTGTCGATAGACCTTGGATATTCTGAGGTTGAGACAGTATTTAACGGTTGGAAGAATTGACAGAGCTATGGTTATGAATGACATTGGGCACTGGTTCCGAATTTACTAATACGGCTAGTGGACATAATTTGAACACATATATATTGTGTGTAAATTAAGAGATGGATTCGATATCCCATTGCGACGTTAGGAACATTTTTAATTTCAATGTTGGAGCGCTACACCACTTTCAAAGATCGTTTTCGCACAATACATAAATAGATATAATAGAATTCCAAGTTAAGTATATAAATTAATGTATCGTAGTGAAATGAAATAAAACCAAGTACGAACATTCCAAACCATCAGACAAAATTCGAAGTCCTAAAAAAAAAAAACCCGGTATAGGCAAAGTGGTGTAATCAGCTAATTGATAATTGCCGTAAAAGACTCACCGGATGTAACTTTGATAATAGTAGCAAGAATCATACCAGTCCCACATAAAGCATAATATGTTGTTAGTGTTTTCTTTCTACCAAATCTGTAGAGAGGACAGGAATAGTGTTTACCATCGTCAAAATACTTCGATAATTTTGAAACCACCATATTTATTATGTTAATTATCATGTGCATACTATTGTTTCCGGCAGCGATGTTTCCTGATAAAGAACGTACACTGGCCTTTCTGGCCATGAGCCGTGTCTTATAACCGCGTGGTACGTTGAAACAAGAAAAAGGGCTCATCGACAAACATTAATAACTAGCACACCAGCCGATTCTAACCATTGGATAAATATAACAAATGACGTGGACGAATACAACAATTCGTTAAAGGACAATATTGGTGCCAATATTATTTTTTCACAGAGATCATTGCTACGATACATGAGTAATCAATGTTTTAACAATAGGAAGTGACGAACGCAAAAGGAAAACACGAGTTATCCCTCTATAAAACTGGCTGAAGTGACGGGGGATAACAGATACATGGGCGAATTTCTGCTCATGAAATAGAACATGAAAGAAAAATAGAAAAAGTCCGTGCATTACCATGTTTTTATAAGTATAGAATGAATAAACACCCGTGAATGTACGGACTGTTTCTATTTGTCTCGTGTTCTCTTATCTAATGACATTGGATTACTTTTTTGAATTGTCAGATATACTCTTTTGATCTTCTAACGAATTTTTAGTGAGCAGAAATTCGCCCATGTATCTGTTATCACGCGTCACTTCAGCCAGTTTTATAGAGGGATAACTCGTGTTTTCCTTTTGCGTTCGTCACTTCCTATGGTTAAAACATTGATTACTCATCTATCGTAGCAATGATCTCTGTGACAAAATAATATTTGGAACGTGTTTAACCAGTTCTATCACATATGTGATAATGACTGGCACCAATATTGTCCTTTAAGTTATGCAAGATGTACGGGACAATATCAAGCCCTTGGACGAACTTCTCGATCGTTATATCGACCTACCTCTGTAGCCTAGAATTAGCAATGTATTATTATTACCTACCTATCAACAATCAGAAAGAATATAATACCGGAAGGAAATTCCATTAACGCATACAGGAAGAAGTTGAGATATTTATCGCCAACTAGAGACGACGACGTAAAAAACAAACCAAAATATGATAAAGCAGCCGTGCACCTGAAACAAAAAACTTAAAGATGCATTATGTAAGAGCTAAATCTGCCTATAACAGATCTTTTGTTTGGAAACAAATGGTACGTAAATCATTAATTAGACATTTATTCACATGACAAACCCTTAATCAACTCTCTAGACTATTGGATGGTTTTGATTTTCAACGGATTTAACCACGTTTGCTAGTTAATAATAATTTAATTAAAAAATGGATAATCAAGATGTTGTTTATAATCGCAACAAAGGTAGCAATGAAAATGGGGACAACACTGTTCTAACTTGAAATTTTCAATATTCCCTTTTAACTATTATAGAGAGCTGTCCACTCTTTGACTAAATCTTACTTAATGCATCTTTAATGTTTTCTTTAGTAATTACTCGGCCTTTTCTGGCACATGCCAAATAGCTGGTAGTTTTCGCTTTTTGAAATAAATGTAACTTGGAAGTCTGTGCGGTTTCATGACCCGGCTTCTGTTTAAATTCTTCCAGGTCGAAGAGTCATTCGGTGACTCACATTTCAATTCTTTTACCCGAATCTTTCTACTTTATTGTTCTTTTACGTACACGAAAACATGGATATGGGACCTCGACTGTTACTTCCATCCGGGGACCCCTCGCTGGAAAATATATCACTGAATACTAACCATAGATACCACAGTATAAATGTATTTAGCGCCAATTTCTTTCTCTTCAAAATATCTAATAAACTATATTTCTCGATTTTTTCAATTGGCTTCGTTTCATCCTCGTTTAAAAGAAGTTGGTCGCCCTTCTCTGGCTCGGGAATAATTAAAGTTTGCCTTCCTATCAGCTCGTTAAATTTGTCTACAACCATATTGACATCAATCTGTAACATACGAATAGCTATAAAACTTCCCACTAGAATGATGAAAATTGATAATATTTCCAACCAGCATAACTGTTAACAAGCGGTTGCCTTGCACAAGCGACAGAAGTGCGATTTTAGAACAATATAGGGCCATAATTCAGGATGTTAATATCCCAAAGATCTCGGTTCCTTTTGATACTGATGCATGTCAGACCGTAACGTCCTGGATTTTAGTCACTCACTGGTTGTGCGCAAAATCGCCTTTTTAGCTTGTTCTCAGTCAATTTCTTGCAAAATGTGGAAGTACCATGCATGGTAACCGCTTGTTAACATTTTGTACAGAATGGGGAAATAGGATCGAGATCAGAATTTTTAAAGGATCCTTTCCTTATCCAATTTGGTCAGCATAAAAGTTTTCCTTTCGGATAAGTTATCTCTGTTCTTCTGTTGAGCTGACATAAAGCGTTACATTATATCGTATGTCGCATTTCTACTGAAGTTGGTTATGTCAGCTCCAGGAAGAAGAACGATAGCTTACCCGAAAGGAAGGCTACCTTTTAATTTGAAAGTTATAGATCGGTAGAGTATGAACACATTCTTAGTTTGATGCTAAGGAATACTAAAATACGTCACAGGCAACACTAAAAGACCGGGGATAACAATTTATTTCAACTCCTATATTCTCCTTCACTCGGTTATCATTTCTTTATATCTTACTTACCTAGAGTCACGGGCCCAACAACAAAGCTCCACCCAACTTTCAAGCCCTAGGCTAACAGTAGTTATGACCTTGTGTCCTTGACTATTGCGGACTGGTGACCTGGCGTCATTCGTCAGATTAAAGGACAATATTGGTGTCAGTCATTATTACACATGTGATAGAACTAGTTAAATACATTCCAAATATAATTTTAACACAGAGATCATCGCTACGGGAGACGTGTAACAAGCACGTGAAAAAACGGGAAGTGACGCCAAACACGAGTTGTCCTTCTATATATCTGACTGAAATACCGAGCGATAACAGACACACGATCGAATTTCATTTCACTGATAATTCAGTTATATCAGTGAAATGAAATTCGATCGTTTCAATGATATAACAACTTTTCATCTTCAACTGAATTATCAGTGAAATGAAATTCGATTGTTTGTCTGTTATCGCTCGTTACTCCAATATAGAAGGACAACTCGTGTTTGACGTCACTTCCCGTTTCTTCACGTGCCTGTTACACATCTCCCGTAACAATGATCTCTGTGTTAAAATTATATTTGGGTTGTATTTAACGAGCTCTATCACATATTTTATGTTCAATGTTAGATAGTTTCGATGTATTCATACAGTGATACTAAAGCTATTTAATTACCTTATTCCATTTAGCTGCCTTCTTTACATTCTTGAGAGCGATGTCATATTTTCCGTTTGCTATCAACCATCTGAACGACTCGTCCAGGAATCTATAATATGATTATTAAATAGTTCTTTACATCAGTACTTTCATCCATTGACAAATAGTCTAGCTAAATGTATTGCCATATATTTCCAATCTTCCGCACTTTTTTGGTGACAATATGTAATGACAGAATCACGCGGGGTTTAACGTCCACTCAACACAACGCATTTTAATAATGGGCTTGCTCGTATATAGGGGTCTTTAGCAGTCTTTAGGTAGTAAACCGCTGAAAACGCACGTGGCTGGGTAAGCGACCCTACCCCTTCTCACGTACAAGCTTGGGATAGACTCAACGCTACTTGACTCAATGCCAGACCTAATGATTTAATTAAAAGCATAGACATTAGGCCATGAACCACCAAACCCCGATTTTGGGAATCAATCATTTACACGAATCAATAAACTCACATGACTTCAATAATAACGTAGAGCGAAACGGAGCAAAAAGCCAATTGCTGAGTTCGCCAACTTTCCATCCGCAAAAAATATCCAAATGGGGTCATGGCGACAACACAGATTCCCCATACGACAGAACCGACTACTCCAACATATCTTCTATATGGCGTCGGATACACTTCTATACAATACGTAGCAGAGGTCAATACAACACCCTATAAAACAAAATACAATTTGATAACACCTTAATAACATTACACGCATTGGTTAATAGTATCCTCTATAAACAACATATACGGTAACATGCTTATGTATTGTTGTTTTTTTTTTAATGGATCAAAGTAATTAGGCTGTACTTAACTCTGTTTATAGAAGAGTGTTTACCAGCGGCTGCCACGCCGCAGGATACGCCCACATTTTGCAAGAGATGGATAGAGAACAAGCTAAAAACAAACGGGATTTTTTGTACAATCAGGGGCAATAATCGAGAAAATTATGGTCTGAAATATCAAAGGGGACTAAGATCTTTGGGACATAAAGATATGTTTTAAGTTTCATCAGAATCAGACAAAAATTGTGACCTCTAGAGGGTCGATAATCTTCATATTGCATACTTTTACACAATTTGCATACGAAGAGCGGCTATTTTGTTGGGCAGTTTCATTTCGATTTTCCCGAAATTTGAATTCAACCTTCATTATGGTGGAATAGTGAAATATTTAAACGGTTTATAAAAACGGAAAAAAAATTGTGACCTCTAGAGAATCCGCAAGCTAAAAATGCCATTTTTCGAACAATCAGGGGCCATAATCCAGGAAGTTAAGTTCGAGTATCCGCGATTATCAAAAGGGTCCATGATCTTAGTGTGTAATGGTGATATATTCACATTTTTTTTTTAAATCAGATAAAAATTGTGACCTCTACAGTAACCACAAGCTAAAAACGCGATTTTTCGTATAATCAAGGGCCATAATTCAGGAAGTTACTATCCGATATGCCGAATATCGAAAGGAACCAAGATCTTTGGGTTATTAACTTACATTTCAAGTTTCATCAAAATCAAAAGACAATTGTGACCTCTAGAGGGTCCCCAACATTGATATACCATATTTTTTTTACACTATTTGAGTACGAGGATCGGCCATTTTGTCTGTCGGTTTTAATCAGATATTTACGAAATTCGAACTCAACTATCCTTAGGGCGTAATGGTGATATATTCGGACGTTTGTTTTTAAATCGGATAAAAATTATGACCTCTATAGGGTCGACAAGCTAAAAACGTTACTTTTCGTACAATCAGGCACCATAATTCAGGCAGTTACGGTCAGATATGAGCGAATATCGAAAGGAAACGAGATCTTTGGGTCATGAACTTGCATTTCAAGTTTCATCAAAATAGGATTAAAATTGTGACCTCCTATATGGTCCACAAGCTAAAAACGTGATTTTTCGTACAAACAGGGGTCATAATCCATGAAGTTTCGATCCGATACATGCCAATATCGAAAGCAACCGAGATCTTTTGGAGATAAGTCTATATTTCAAGTTTCGTCAAAATCGGATAAGAATTGTAACCTGTAGAGTGTCCACAAACAAATTGTGGACGGACGGACGTCCGGACAGACAGGGGCGACGACAATATACGTCCACATGAAAATTTGGGCTTATAAAAATGTCAAAATACAGGTATTAATACGAAATTCCAGGTATCGTGTTATAAATTACTGGAAAGTATGTTTCTATGGCTCTTTGAATCTATCAATTATTTCCTGGCACATTCATGATTACGCACGGTTGTCCAGCTAATTTGTTATAGCGTGCAAGCTTGATTTCTTGTTATCGTGCGATGAATATCCTTATAGTGTGCTGGCTGATAGTGAACCAGGTTTCTGTATGTTAATAAGTCACGTGATATATCACATTTGCATATAAAAGTTAATGTTGTGCGAAACATGCTGTATAGAAAGCGTGAAGGAAAATGAGATGTAAACCGTGGCATATCTTCATCGAATTTCAACTGTGAAGGATTCTTTTAGGTGCACGCCAATGTGTACACAGGAGCTTGTTTTTGTCCCATCTACACACTATACATTGCCAGATCCTTTGCCCTGCACTACCGACAGGGAGAAGCCAACACCAGGATCAGTTTATAATAATCATAGTATTGAGAAGAATATGGTCCCTTGTTCTGCACTACCGACATGGAGAAACCACGCTGCAAAATCCCGGTGAACTTTCAGTGTACATAATCATAGTATTGAGAGGAATATGGCCGATAACCCGACACCACGACAATTTTGCGCGACATTACGACATTTATAATGTCGTGGTGTCGGGTAAAAATGTCGTGATGTCGGTTGTCGCCTTTACCAATCAGCCACCATACTTAAGTTGCCGCGTAGTGTGCGTCAGGCTTTAGTACACTACCGTGTATATCCATCATTGATGTGTAACTAGCAATGGACCGAAAGACTTACATACCTGTTGTACTATTCCCATTAGCAATCGAAGTATGGCAAACGTTATATAACTGTTAGAGAATGTTGTGGCAACGCCGATCACCATCATACCAAAATGGCTGATAATATTGGTCGGCTTTCGTCCATAACGATCAGAGAAAAACGGTAGAACCAGCGCACCCATGGCCTGCCCTAATATCAACAGCGTCTGTGGTAAATCACCGAGCGCACCACGTTCACAAACAAGATCAAACTGAAAATATTACAAAATCATGAAATAAATTAAATTAAATGGGGTTTAACGTCATGTTCTGCTCCAACTGGGTCAATGAAGAAAAGTATACGTCATACAGTATGATATAAGGGCAATTTTGCCCGGACTACGGCCTACTATTTACCAATTTCCAACAGCCAAGAGATCTTTTACGTACACACCAATGTGTCCATGGACCGCCATGGATGTGCACCACTGACACATTTAAGATGAATACAAAAGCATGCATAATTAACCGTCTGTTTCTACCGCATGGATTACAATTTTTAATCATATACTAAAACCACAATTTAGACTTTCTTTATGTAAATTTGAATTTATTTAAATTTTACTACTAATTCTAAATACTAAAATGTTCTTCTTATCCAAAAAATAATCGTGCAAAAACAAACGATAACTTTGTGATGCACGATTGGTAGCCCAAAAACAAAAGATAACTTTGTGATGCACGATGGTAACATATGTTACGGTTGTTTGAAGTACGGACACTTGTTTGGCGCTGTAAGTTGATTGAACTGACGATAACGACTAATACAAGTATTTAAAAATATATGGTATGCAATAATTTGGTTAAATACCAGAATATCATAGGATCACGTGTAGACAACAATGCAGATTAATACTCTCCGATCCTGCACCATTAACAATGGGAAAGAAAACATGCACAAAAATCGCGATGAACTTTCAAGGCCAACACCAGGATCGAATCCGGGATCTCCTGGTTAGTGAACTAGCGAAATATAAGCCCAAGGGAACTTGGCACGGGAACAAAACGACAGTGATCCGAGAAACACGACTTCATTACTTTTGCGTTGACTGACTTTACATGGGCCGGGTTACGCAATAGGACCGGTTACTTACTATTAATAAGCAAATTGCTGATTCCACCAATCGCGGGGATGTTATATCCATCTATTAATAATCAAAAGGCTGGTTTCACTAATGGCAGGGATGTTATATCCATCTATTAATAATCAAATTGATGGTTTCACCAATGGCGGGGATGTTATATCCATCTGTTTTATATTGATACAACCATGGACCGTATATTTGGTCCATGATACAACGAATGTTTTGGGATTTTGATTTGTGCGATCCTATTTTTTATCTGTATAATATTACCTCTGAAACGATCGAAGCATCTTTTCTCTCTGTGTAGGTCATACCATATATACATGGTAGTTTGTGTTCTGTATTGATGGAAGAAGTGGTATTGTATTTAATATTTATATTACACTGTCCGTATTCCACTGTATAATTACTGGGTGATAATTCTACTCCAGCTATTGTTATACCAGTACCATTAGGTGGCGCAGAGCACTCGTGGGGAATAATCCGTCCTGCAAAACAAATACCATTGAATGAATGAAATGGGGTTCAACGTCATACTTTTATGCCGGGCCAATGACGACAAGCAGGATAATTTAATTAATTTATAACTTATATCGCTTTAAATGAGTTTTTGTCATTAAGGATAAAGTGCTAATGGACATGCAATGAAATGGGGTTTAACGTCCTGCACTGACTGGGATATAATGAAGACATAGCTATGTGGTAAATTTCCCCATCGATCGACACGATTCGAATATTGCCTGGAGTAATTAGCAGTGAGGTTAAATGCAGTTTGAACTTTTGTTGTGTTGGGTATGATGAAATGTAACTTCATAATACCCTTATATCGGACATAAGGGAAGCGTTCGCTCATATAACGTATCCTTATCATAGCATCAAATGCAATAATTCTAACCAATATGTCCTTTATGCAATAACTAATACTGTATGTGCTCTAGGATCTTTGAAGCAATGGGAAAAAACGAAACAAAACTATGTACGATTTAAATAAATAGCTGGGCCCTTATTCACGAAAACTTAAACTAAGTTACAACCGAAATTTTAAGAAATACTGCAACTTCATTGGATATATGCAAATTGATTTTACTGGTCAGCCAATCGAATTGCAGTATTTCTTAATATTTCGATTGTATCTTAGTTTAAGTTTTCGTGAATAAGGGCCCTGGATGTTTTTGCTATAAAAGTTCAAAAGTAGATAATTGAAAATTTCATTCAAATTACTTTATTCTGAGCGAAATTATCACAGTTTGAAGTTTTGACAACATTTGGTATACATCGTTTTTTTTTTATCGTAACAGCGATACTCATTATTCGAGACTTGGCCTCGCTTCGCCATTTTTAAAATCAAATCATTTAGTTGGCCACAAAGTTCTAATTTATTTAAAAGGGTAGAGCCATCCGATGGCACAGAGAGTTTTGACAACATTTGGTATACATCGTTTTTTTTTTATCGTAACAGCGATACTCATTATTCGAGACTTGGCCTCGCTTCGCCATTTTTAAAATCAAATCATTTAGTTGGCCACAAAGTTCTAATTTATTTAAAAGGGTAGAGCCATCCGATGGCACAGAGAGTTTTTATGGGCTTGTCATGTTAATAAATGTTTAAATGTACATAACATTTGAAGTTAAAAGATCTGAAATAGCCAGATTTAGCTCTTTCGTGAAGCATAATGTGAAGTACATTTAAAAGGACAATAACACTCTTGCTGGCTTGACAGCTCCAGAAAATAAAAAATAGCCTTATTCTAAGTACTAGATTTGTTAGTGTCCTACCTGTTGTGTAAATTATCCATTAAATCCTATTTTATTTGTCCAGAGGGTTCAAAAATATTTTTTAATCCAAGTCACATTTGAAAAGCTTTACGTCAGGCTTTTCAAATCATTTAGTTGAATTTAGTTGAAAGGTGTGTTAAGATGGAATTTGTATCATCAATTAATTGGAATATTGTAAAATAGTACAATTTGTTGACCAGAATAAAGATTGGGACATATTATTCAGTTACAACAAGAGTGGTATTGAGCCTTTAAAAGAAAAAAAAACATCCATATAAAGCAGCCTAAAATGAAAGAGTAAACAGATAGTTACATTATTGTAGAAGAGTGGTTTTATTTTAATTATTGATATTTTAATATGGTCTCAATGCTATATTAATATTATATAATACGATAATGTGTTACACATCGCTGTATCTTTAACCTGTCCTGTTCTGTACACTCTTCTTAAAGGTATCCAGTGACTTCGAGTTCACTCACTGGGATTCATTCCCAAAGGTTTCGTGGATATGTTGTTTATCTGCCATAAACATGGGCAACTGATAAATACAGCTCAATTGCATTTGTAGCATGTAAACTTTATCGAACAACCAATCACTTCACATTGCAACAGTTGATTGTCCACTTAATAATAGAAATATTGCCCAATTTATTTAGGAATGCTCTTTCTTTACTGATCAATTGCTACTGAAATACCAGAAACTTATAAGTTTGGACAAAGGCGATGACTTGCTCGTATAACAGTTTTATGATATCCTTGACATTAGACCACTAGTTCATCATTTAAGGGACGCAACCCACAATAACGGTCACCTGTTAGATCTGATTATCATAAACCATAAGAGCTCTATTATATCTAATATTACCACTGATGATGTTCTTAGATCAGACCACATTCCAGTTTTATTTAACATTGACCATAAAACACATATTCAACGACAGATCATTTAATTGAGAAATATTAGCTACATTAACTTAGATGCCATTAAACAGTCACTCTCCGGCTTAGATTTTCGTAACCCCATAGACAATGTTAACGAAACGGTTCACCGCTTTGATACAATAGCAAGACAGGGGGTTGATGACTGCACTCCAGGACTAATTCAGTGATAGATCATACTTCCGAACATTCTGTACTTCCGAACATATTAATAGAAATGATCTCGCTGATAAATTTTCAGAATATGTTCTTTACAAAGTCTCTCTCAATAGAAATGACCTGAATGTCTTAGATTATGATATCGACATTAATACTGAACCACGTTCCGGGTTATTCAACTCTTTTAGTCCTTTAATTGATCCTTTTTGTCATAGCTTTAATCAAATGGTCACCATCGAAAACATGTTCTTTAGATTCACTACCGACTCCAGTCCTTAAACTACCAATTGTCATATTTTGAACTATGCTGTTGACCATATTCTTTGAATCCTAATGTATGTCATGTCAAAGGATCTAATGTGTAGCGTAATAATTAATGCCCGGGTGGGTGATTAAAAATTCCATCACCTAAATTCTACAAAGGTGATTGTGGTATAGTGATCTATCTGTAGTTGGATAAGATGTCTCCTCAATGTTAATAATGGTCCACTGATCTACCTGTACATGGATCCTGTGGAAACCAGACAAACTATATTTAAAGAGTTTGCATTGGAAACTAAAACCAACAGACGCAATCCATACCATCATCTATAATGGTTGTTGCTGTGAAAAGTCGCCGAACAAATAACACTAATCCCAGACGTAATAGTTTGCGTGTGTTCTACCTAACTGACGCCAAAGTTCGGGTCTGCAAAGCAGTTTTCCTTAGTTGTCTTGGTATAACAAATAAGTGTTTTCATTACGCCTTAACCAACCATCCAACAAAACGTCCGATAGGATTGTCAAAACCATTATACAGCATATTAAATCTTTCCCCAACTATGTCAGCCATTATGGTAGATCTGAGAGTAGAAACACATATCTAAGCCCGGATCTGAGTATATCCAAGATGTACCAGCTTTACATAATCTTCTGTCAGCAACAAAATGAAAAACCAGCGTCACTGTGGGTTTATCAGAATTATTTTTAACCTAACCTCCAACTTCCATTTCTACAAACGGAAGAAAGATACATGTAAAGAATGTGATGTGTTCTAAGCTAAATTAAAGTCATATTGAGATAGCCCTCAACGTCTATAATATTCAGTAATAATTTAAATTGGGTACCAATGGTTAAGCAGTGATAAGACTGGATATAGGATCAAAAAAAAAAAAAAATCTAAGCAAAATATCTGGTTGCTTAGTCTGTTATTTATCTGCTTAGTCTGTTATTTATCTGCAAACTCTGCGAGACATATTGGTGTTAGTTTTGATAAAAACATGAATATGATTAGTCAGATTAATAGTGTATGTAAAAGCTGAAATGAAATGAAATGAGGTTTAACGTCCTACTCCTAACCTGCACTGAAAAAACCCTTGTGTTGGATCTCAACACAAGAACTTGTGTTAAAAATATTTAACACATGTTTGTGTTGTATTGCATTGCAATGACACAAGTTTGTGTTCTTTTCAATGTCTTAACACAAACTTGTGTACATTTATAAAATCTTATGTGGTTTTTTTCCCATATAATTAATTACGTCGACATTAAAGATAACATTTATTATGTTCCTTTATCACATTATGTTTTTTATTTATTGAGAAAATCTGAATGGGATTGGGGAACTGGATTAGGGATCTGGCCTAGCCTATATGTAAAACCACTCTTCCTGAATTTGAATTCGAGTAATTCACTTGATTTATTTTTTAATATTTCTAATTATCTAAAAGGATATTATATTAATTATTACAAACATTAAGTAGAAATCGCAATGTATGTATCGTGCGATGCATTTAATATCTCTTTTAAAACAACGTATTTTATAACAGTATACTGATATAAGAGATCAAAGTTTTAGTCAATTATTATCTAAATATAAACTATTTATTTAATTAGATATAATAAAAGATTATTCTGATTCTACTCTTTGTTTATTTTCACATCTTGTCTCAGACAATATACAGAGACAGGTTATTACAATGTCTGCATTTGGAAGTGTCTGATTGATATCGCCCCAATAAACTTGACACATCAAAGACAATAACAATTGTGTTATATCTACGTTTTAAAAAAATGTTTGAATGGGCGTGGAAATAGTCGAGTTAATCTTTTTATTTAATTTAATTGGTTCATTAATTGAAATTGGAAATTTATTCTTACCTGTAAATGACCAATTAAAATGAATTACTCTTAAAACAAAGAAAGAAATATTTATTGAAGTAATTTTGCTCTATTAAACCCTGTGGTACTGCAAATGTTAACTGTATTATTAAGCATTAGTATCGAAAAAAAGTGATATTGTTGTGAAAAAAGTTTGTTCAGAAAATAAGAACATCAGGTTTGTGATTTTGGTATTTTTTAATACAATGTATTTATAACGCAAATTTTTCGTTTCGGTTAAAACAAAATATACGTCCATTTTAATTGGCCGAAGGATGTGTGACTAATAGAAATATGGCGGGCGGACAAACTGACCAAACAGTATATTTCGAGGTATTTGAGGTAAGCTAATTTAATATTATATCATAACTGCATGTGCATAATTGTGTTCTGTTTGATTAAATATTCAAAAAATCATTCTTAGGATACAACCGCGACACCAGTCCGCCCTGAATTGCAATGTTTGTTTTGTGT